AGTTGAATTATGAAGCACAAGTCAAAAATAGGAAACAAGCTTTGTGTCACTTCTGTGAACAGATTCTCGGTAGATACTTTTGAATGATTATGTGACCAATTAGAGATACAATGAGAAGACCACCAAAATGGGAATTGAAAATGCTGAATTCTATTTAAAATTTTCCAGTAATTACCTGGGTTGCCTAGGACAAAAATATTTCTCTATGTTCTCATAAACAACAGGAGACTTAGATCTATGATTTTATGAAGCAATGAATGGGGCAAATCAATGGGAGAATTAGAAAATTTAAAGATTGCCAGTCGTTAAAGATCAAGTATCGATGGGACATTTAATGTTGTCATGTTCTCATGGGATCCAAATTTAAACATTAAGACAAATATTTTATACCCTGTTCATGAGAATGATCTGTCATACACTAAATTCAGAAGATGGGGGTTTAAGTTCAGCACTTCTATGTCTCGTTGTATGAACCAGAGTCATTGATTTTTGCTTTTGGAGCCTGCTGTGGTTTGGATGTTTCTTGCATCCTAAAGGTTCATGCATTCAGGCTTATTCCTAGGTGTACCTAGTGGGAGATGGTTAAGGGGATCTGCCCTCAGAAAGGATTAGATAACATTTGTAGGACCCTCGTAGGTTCCCAGGAGACTGAGTTGTTTTACAAACCAACTGCCGCCCTGCCTCTTGATGTGCTTTCACCTTCTCAAATGCATCCCCAACATGATGTCATCCCACCATGTGGCCCTTTCCGGAGGCTGAAAAAATGGGGCTTCCCAGACTTGGAATTTAAGTCTCCAAAACTATGAGCTAAATAAACCTCTTTTCTTTATATGTAACATAGCTTCAGGTATTTTATTATAGCAATAGAAAATGGACTAATACAGAGCCTCAATTTCTTTCAAGTGTAAATGTGGAATATTATCAATGATAGGTTTCTCATGATTGGTAAAAATTACTTATGATATAAGTATAATTTCCCAAGCAGTAATTGCAATGGTTTCTGTGTCAATGACACATGGTTGCATATAATTTCTTATTTTTTGATCAATATTTATTTAACTAGCCTTGTTTATTTTATTTCAAAACCTTCATAGGCTAATTTTATTTTGGATGACTTTTGTAAATAACTCAGAGCTTTCTGGACATCATTTACAAAGAAAACTAAAAAATATTTAATTCTGTATCAAAATATATTTGTTGCATTTATTTCTCTGCACATCTTGGAGTATAGGATATTGTTTATCATTTAAAATATGTCAATAATTTTTTACTCATACATGAAAAATACAAATTGAGATTTTGGGGGGTCATAAATTATCTGCGTGGAATTAAGTGTTATTTTAATTTGTAGTGTACATTTTGTGTTCAAATAGTTTTGGTATATTGATAATTATCTTTTCATCCTTCTCCATGAGATATTTCTAAAAAATACCTGGTATATGTTATTTATAGCATGTGTTCTCATATTGTTGAGTTTTGTGTAATAATTTCTGGTGAATTAAGACTGATTTTTTTTTTTATTCATCAGTCTTTTCCAGCCCAGAGAATATTTACAGATAATCTGACAAGTTGGGGTCTATTTAGCTAACACAATGCTCTAAACTTTTAAGTGTCAATATGATTTGTCTGATAGAAATCTAAATATTTTCTCTTTTTGTCCATGAATACAAATAACTCATACTGGAAGGAAGATGAGACTGGTGCTTTGGGTCACAAAGAGAGCATCTTACTGTGCCTCTCTGTCATCTCCAGTGGGTGTGTTTGGTTAAAATGGGGTAGATGTTCCACAGGAACTAACCATCTGTAGCAGAAACCTGAAAGTTAAGAGACAAGCCTTTTCAACATCAGCCAACTCAATTGATTTCCCAGCTGATACTGAAATAGAAATGCAGATGGCTGCAAGAAAAGTTAACAAATAATAAGACAAGGCTTGGGTGGGTTTGTACACAACTCAGTTCTCTGGGAAGTGGGAGGGGCAGCTTCCTGCACAGGAAAAGATTTCTAAATTGAACAAGATTCTTCCTCCTCCAAAACATTGACATTCACTTATAAGCACTGAGTGAGGAAATAGGTTTAAAGTTTCAGCTGCTTTGATCATTAAAGTACAGAAAACTCAAAAAGCTCAAGCCCAGGCTTCTTACTTGTATCACATTCTTTTCCTCTCTCTGGATGTTAAGAGTAGTCTCTACTAAAGATGTTTAAAAAAAAAAAAAAAGAATCAGTATTCAGTTCCTTTATTTGCACCAAAAAGTCTACAGGAGATTGACATCAACTAAAGAGAATTTTATGTTTATTCAGTTAAGATTCAACAAAAACTAAGTATGATTTCTAACTGATGTTTGCTCTTCATTTGTTGGGGGAGCCCTATAGACATTACTGTTCTACATTTCGTCCCAAGCTAGCATGACGCCAGTTCTGCAGATTTTAGACTTACCATCCTCTGTGAGCCAATTTCTTATAATAAATCTCTTTATATGTACCTGCCTTGTATTGGTTCTGTTTCTCTAGAGAATGCTCGCTAACACTGGTAAAATTAACCGGAGCTATTAATTCAAAAAGAAAAGGAACCCATATATGATTTCTGACTATAAAAAAGCTTGTTTAGTAATTTCAAAAATAGATAATGGTATGAACAATTATGAAGTATAGATTACATCTGATCACTTTAAAAAAGAGAAGGAAGAGCTTTATTGTAAAATAGTGTGTTGCCAGTGTTTTCTGTAGGACTCAATCAGAAATATTTTAGAATTTGTGGGCCATATGTCCTCTGTAGTACTACTAAAGGCTGCTTATTTAGCACAAGACCACATCTAAATGATGTATATTGCTATCTTTAAAAAATAAATAAATAAATCTTAATTTATAAAAGTAGGTGATGAGCCTCATTTGGGCCAGGTGCAGTAGATAAGTAGTTTGCTCACTCCTGTTGTATAATACTGATATCTGAAAATTATATTAATATTTGAAAATTATGTTTTATAACTACTTGATCATGAAATGAAAAGTTTTAAGATGCCAACTTGAAGATGTGCAAAGAGGTGCATGGTATTTCCAAAGTCTTTAGGAGGCACAAACTTAGAGGATTTTGCAGACCCCCATGCCACTCTTGTGAAGAATGGAGGGGAAAACAGCAGGGCCTAGCCAGGTAATCAGGAGAAAAGAGACACTCAAGGAAATGGGGTAGGATGATCAAAAGCACAGAGAAAGAACATGATGCACCCCCCTTTCCTTCAACAACTTGGTGTCAGAACACAAGACATGATTCAGCTCAAGAGGTGGATTTGTGTTAGCATCAAGGATCAGATGCAGAATTTTGAATTTATCATGTGGGAAGTGAAGTGAGAAGTCACTGAATTGTAAAGAGTAGAGTGACACGCTTGAGTAGAAGGTCTGAGGATGCAAGATAAGCTGGGCAATTCAAAGTTAGAATGAGGAAAAACATTTAGGAGAGGATTGCTCACTTTCAAGGTATTTAGATAAGTATGGGAAAAGATACGATTTTAATGAAGAAGAACTTTATAAAAATTGTGAAATTTGTTAAATAAATTAGTTAGAGTTCATCAGTGTCCACAGGCCATAAAGAAAGTGTCGTGCTCATTAAGGACGACAACAAGACCCTCCTGAGACAGAATGTGCCATGATGAACTGGACTCACCACTCCACCTTCCCTGCATTCTGCCCCCAATCAAATAAATTTGTTGACTCTACTAGTTTTCTGTTACTGTAACAAATGATCACAAATTTAATGGCTTAAACAGGCACAAATGTATGTCTTACAGCTTTATAGGCCAGAAGTCTGAAGTAGGTCTCAGAGGACTGAAATCAGAGTGGGCTGACCCTGTTCGTTCTGGAGGCTGCTCCTTTGCCTTTTCAGGCTTCACAGGTTCACCTGTATGTCTCAGCTCACGGGCCCCTGCCTGCATTTTGAATCCCCAAATGGTAGTTGAGTTCCCACTTTGCATCACTCTGACTTTCACTCCTGCTTCCCTCTTTCATTTCTAAGGTCCCTTGTGATCACATCGGAACTAGCTGTGTGTCTCCCAGTGACCCCTTCCTGAGCCTCCCCTTCTTACAAATCAAGCTTCTTGCAATTTCAAAACTGTATAGTCAGCTGTGTGTATGCACATGCTGTTCACAATGAAACCCCATGTGCCCTCCACCTCATGACTCACCTGGTATTCTTTATTCAACACTCAACTCAGAAGCCCCTTCCTCTAGAAAGCCTTCTCCCATCTACTCTTACTATCCCTCTCAAATGGTTACCTAAATAATTTTGTTGAACAGCATCCTGATGTTCTGTTTCTGTGTACATAAAAGTATTTATCACAAAGCATTCTCTTTTGCAGTTCCGTGCCATTGTCATTTTCCTTTCCTTGACTCTGAATTTCTTAAGAATTGGAATAATTTGTAATGGATACTGACATGCCCAGTATCAAATACACTAGCTGATATTGAGCACAGGCTTGTTGATCACTACCTATTAGTGGATGGGTCATGGATTAAGATTGGCTTTGAACATGATTTATTTTTAATAGAAGGCAATATATAATACCCATGTGTGGGTGGCAAAATTATTGTTTTATGAAAATTTGCTTCAGTCATATACCGAGCTGTGATTATATCATCATGCCAAATGTATGATTTATAATTAATTGGTCATGAAAAAAGAGAAGAGTAGAAACGACTAGTTTAGTAATGTTCAACACATAACCATGGAATAATCTATGCACCATTTATTACATTGTGCCTTTATTATCTTGTGTCTGTACAGACTTTTGGTGACTCTTCTCAGTAAGGAAATTGAGTCAGATTTTTCCTGGCCTTTTCTTTACCTAAATGTATTCCTCAACACGCAGGAAGAGTTTTCTATATATTGGATATTTTCATCTCTACTTGACTGGCTGCAAAGAGGTTATTCCCTTGAAAGGCTGAGAAAAATTCCTCTTAGGAGTCCTATTATTGATTTATTTTCCAAGAATGTTTGGTAAAAAGCAGCTTACCTTGACCAGAGTCTGCAGCATGATTACAGTGTGCCTTCCCTCAGTCCCTAAGGCAGGAATGGCCCCCGCTGGTCTGAGCCTGGAAGACAAACCTCTCACCCCACAACCCCGCACAGCTTGCCCGTGCTCTGAAGTGGTTGCTGTCCCAGATCACTGAGCTAAAAACATTAATTAAAAAAAAGAGAGAAATAGGTCAAATCTGTATTGCTGAAGGCAAACTCAAATTGGAAGAGTGGAGAGTCCTTGAATCAAATTTCTGTTTCTTTAATCAGCTCTGAGCAAACATCCACTTCTGTGGTTAACTTTATTTCCATGTATTTGCTTATTTGTCAGTTTTGAAAGAGTTCCTGAGGTAACTTAACCTCTCTGGGATCCTATGATGTGAAGGAAGAGGGAAAAATAGATGAGAAAAACTGTTTAGAAATTAAAAAGAAAGAAAGAAATTGTATTTTGATATGTCAAGAGAAAGTGAACTCTTCCTAGCCCTGGCCTACCATGTTCACAATGTTTTTTTGGAAATTAACAGAAGGGAAAGGATAAAATTATTTGATTTGCAAAACTTTAGAGAAAGGGCTATTTTTCAGCATTTTTTTTTTCCGTGAAACTGCGACAATGGGCAAAAATCAGTCCTTCCATACTTAGTTACAACCATTTCCTGTTATTCCCCTTCAGTTTAAGGGATATAAAACCTGCTTCTCTGTTGGAGACAGTCATCTTCTACCCCTAGGCTGGAGTCAAAACCAGGAAAGCCTGCAAATATAAAAACAAAGGCATACTTTTTCTCTCCTACTTCCACTCATAAATAATGAGTCTTATTTTCAATTGTATTTTGTTTTTCCTTGATAGTTAGGAGCAGACATTCCAAACTGACTTTGTATTTGGTGGTGTCTCTGGCCGGGGAGTGGTATGTGGTGCATGACTGACCAAAGCTGAGGAATAAAAAATAATAATAATAAAAAAAATGACAGTAGAATAACTGAACAACAGAGGGAAAGATGAGCGCAAAAAAAAGGTAAGAGACTAGAAGACTTTTAAACAAAACCTACGTGGGACATGTCTCTGAAAAATTAATTTACAGTGAAAAGCACAGTAGGAAAATAAAATTGGAACAAAGAAAAGAATGTTAAAGAATGAAGAAAGAACAACTAATGTTTGATGACCTGTCAACTTTCAAATGAAAAGCAGGTGTCCTCTCTCACAATCCACTCCTGTGAAGACACAGGGTTTCCAAAGGAAAAGAAAGACAAGCTTCTATTACAGCTATAACATACACCTCCATCACGCTGGACATATGTATTTTCTACTTTGTTTTGAAGTTACCCTGACCACATCTGCAACAGATTTGAGCCAACTTTGCTCCCTAAACGAGTTTTCTTTGATGCATCTCTACACAGTAGAAAACACTGGATTGTAGCGTTGCAAATAAACATGCCAAGAGAGTTTTAGATTTGTTGGCATTTCAGAATGGGAACTCTTTTCTATGAGAAATGGATCAAATTTTATTCTGGTACATTTTAATATGTTATGTAAATATCAAGAATGAACAAAAGGAAAATATCTATGATTCTGTAGATTATTTAGGTTGTTATCAAAAAATGTGGATCATTGTCAAGGAGAGATTGAATTGAAAAATGTCCCTACTTTTGCAGACAGAAACAAACTTAAGAATTATTTTCTTAACTATTTAATCTTGTGATCCAAATACAATCCATTTCTATTACTCTTACTTTGTTAATAATAAAAAATAATTTAATTAATAATAAAAAAACATGGTAGGAAAATAAAATTGGAACAGAGAAAAGAATGTTAAAGAATGAAGAAAGAACAACTAATGTTTGATGACCTGTCAACTTGAAATGATTACAAAATTATAAATATGAGCTTTCTAAATTATGTATTTTTAGCTAAAATGAAGGACCAGAAAATAGTAAAATTGCTTTCCTTTAAAGACTTTGCAGATTTGGAACATGATTATCTTCAAACATTTTGTGATTATTTATCTCTCTATCTATCTTCCTGTTACCTGGTTACTATCTGAAATAACAGTGGATTCTGCTTTTCCTTATCTCTAATTACAATTTAATTCATGTCTTATAACTTTTTATAGTAGACTAGAGTTTCTTATTCTCTTTCTGAGATTCAGCATTACTATGAGAAACTGCCACTTTTTAATCAGAACATTTAACCTTGTCATTTGAAAACCCAGTGATACTAGAATCTAATTAGCCGGGACCCCTGGGTCAGAGCTGCTCTCAGCCCTACAGCCTCTTTCTAGCCAGGTGAATGCAAGAAGGCAGAGATCCAGGCAGAGATCCCAGGCTGGGAGATATGAGCTCTGTCTACAGAGGATCTTTGTGCCCCAGAACCCTGACAGAGGGATGAAGGAAGCACATCATGGAGACTTCTTGAGACATCAGGGTCATGTATGTGGGACAGATCACATAACACCCACCTGTGACAGCATTATTCTACCCATTCCATAGTAAAATAAGCAACTCTAATTCTCCTCACTCTGTTAGAGAAGAGAAATAATGGACATGCAGTTGTTTTGTTTTTTCTTTAATGACAGTATCATTGAAAAATACAAGTCTGCATTTTAATTCCCACAGTGAACACACTGACTCATTGCACAGAGGTTAAGGAAAACAGGAGAAAGATTTTTTTTCCCCCTCTAGATTGATAATTTAAGTGAGAAGGATCAAGTTGGAAAAGAATCACAATGTACAGATTATGATTAAATAAGAACTGTAAAAAAAATTTTAAAAACACATTTTTAAAATTTGTTTTTCCCAATGACTTTTATTTCTTTGGAAATGTGTAAAATAGATATGTACATTTATATGTGCTAAAAAGATAAACAAAGGCATGATAAAATTCCTCTCTTTAAGTTTAAACAAACAGCAACTCTTGAAACGGGTAGTGCCAAACAGGAAATTTGGGAGTTCACCAAAGGAATATGGGAAGGTTTCTATGAAGTGAATACAGAAGGGAAATAAAAGGAAAAAACAAAACAAAAACAAAAAAACATTGATTGGTTGCTCCTCCGCAGTTACTTTATTTGGTCTACTTCATTGGAAAATCCCTAGTTACATAATAATCTCTGTTGGCTGCTTCTGACTGGTTGAATTTAAATTTTGTTTTTATAAGAAAAAAGGGCTTTACAAGAAATTGTTCACGTTTTGCTTCTGATTGCAAATCAAGCAAGGTTGAAATCACTTATGAAATCTAACTAAATTTATTTGCTCAGGGATTCTTCAGGCTCATCCTTCATTTTGCTTTAATATATGAAAAATGCACACATCCACATAGACTTAATTTATGTACAGATAAATATATTCAATATATGTGAGTACATACATGTATGTGCATATTTAATTTGTTAATGGAGAACTTGTCATTTGTAAGTTGGATATTTTCTTTTAGTTGATGAGCTTTCAGCCTTCCTTTCTATATGATCCAGTACCCTCTTGTTGAAGGACAATGATGCTCTAGAAGGTTGTGCATATGTATTTCATTTTGTATGGGCTCATAAGATACCCCAAACTAGGTCTTTGTCTTTCTAATGAATGTTTCCAAAGAATGAGGAACAAAAAGAATTCTTCCAAGGCTTCATTAGAAACCAAGTCTTAAAGCCTTAAAAGACCTGATCTGATTGTTTCTGCTAAAAGATAGTTACTATTATTTTGGCATTTGGCCCTTCAAAGCTATCCCATTCCCAAGCTTGATTCTCAGCCACACATTGATTCTATGATCCTCCATAGCCTTCTAATAATTTGTGATTTTGCTTAAGCAAGTTAGAGTAGGTTTCCATTTTTTACTGCCAATTCTACTGCAAATGATACAAATGCTGAGATTATTCTCAATCTTGCTATTTAACTCTATCCCAAAATAAAATTTTAAGACTACTAAACTGGTAGTTTTATGGAAAGGAAACTACAGCATTTGGAAAACAATAATTTTTGGACTTCAAAATACATCCTCCTGCTAGGCACAGTGGCACATACCTGTAATACCAGTTGCCCAGGAGGCTGAGGCAGGAGGATCACAAATTCAAAGCCAGCCTCAGCAACTTATCGAAGCCTAGCAACTCAGTAAGACCTTGTTTTTAAATAAAATATTTAAAAAGTTCTGGGGATGTGGCCCTGAGTTCAATCTCCAGTACAAAAAAAAAATGCATTCTGCATTCTCCGAAAGTAATAAGAAATGAATAGACAAGGATCTGTGGTTTTGAAATTAGGAGTAAAACCTTGGCTTCCCATACATCTAAAATTTTTAATCTATTATAATATTGTACTTTTTAATGATTACCATTAAACTGTTCTCCATTAAGATTATAAATTAACATACTCAAATCAATATGGTTTTAAATTATGTAAATAAAACTAAAACATTATTGAGCTATTTGTCATACACAAGTTCATTCCAACTACCTTCAAAGTCATGTACTATGTGTAGACTGAAACATGGGGTGTTTTATAAGAGTAATCACAAAAACCATGAAAAGTTATAATATCCCACCCCCAATGGATAGACCCATACTATCATTAGGAATCATTTTTATATTTTAAGTTATCATGAAATACAAAAAGTTTTTACTAAACTTTTTAGAAATATCCTTTTTATATATTTTAGGCAAAATTCAAGGTATAGTATAGTAGGAAGTTTCAAAATTGCTTTTATGGATAGTTGAAGAAGAGTTTAATAAGGTAAAATCATCCTAGTTAAAGTTCTTGGCCAGGAATTAAATATATTAAAATTACACTATCAAACACTCCAAACAAGAGAATCATAAAACTTTTTGCAGTCAACAGACATAAACAACTATATGCATGCATAGATAACCTCTTAAGAGATTTATTTTTTTAAAAAATGATAAGACCAAATAATAAAAACAAAACAATTAGCTGACCTCTTATGAAACAAAAAACAACTATGAGATACCTTTATCCATAATTATTTTGTTATTAAAAACAAAGATACACACACCAGAGATATGAAAAATTGTGCTTTATATGTGTAATATGAATTGTAATGCATTCTGCTATCATATATAACAAATTAGAATAAAAATTTAAAAAAATAATTAGGCCCAT